TCTATGGCCCCAGAAAAGATTGAAGTTGTCGATGAAGTTGACTCCTTTTATATTGCAGGTTCTTTGTAGCCATGTGTTCAGCCCAAGCAACCATGAAAACATGTTAGTTCCCCTTGCTGGGAGTGGTTCACTGATGAACGACTGAACTTCAAGTTTTCGAAGTGTTTCAAAGAGTTCACTGAAATCCTTCTTAAGGAGTTCTGACTGCTCTTTCCGAATATCATTCTTCCCCACATGGATGATGATCACATCTGTTCACATCAGAGACAGTTGCTGGAGGAAAGTAGCATGTAGTTGTAGTCCTGGTACTAATGTTTCTGATAATAGAGTCGCCCACTATCGAGTCCTGAGCTTGGCTGCACTCTGAGCTGAATGCCCCTGTCTGCTTGACCTTGAGCGTCTGTAAGTAGCGGTGTTAGCTGGTGTTAGCTGCTGACTGATACGATCCATGTTCAGTGACATTTGGGGATTCCTCACCCACATTCATTAATGCTTCAAATCTGTTCTCAAGATGTATAGGGGGAGGTAGAATACCAGTATTCACAAGCCTTGTCATAGCCGTATCTGGGGTAGAGGATGTTACTGCAGCAATATGAGATACTCATGACAATCTGATATCTTGAGTGCCTTTGGGTCTCGCTCCCTGTTTGTGCCATCGATTAATCCATCAATTAGTTCGGCTTGTTTCTCTACTCTTGGTATAAACTGTTGAGATTCACAGGACTCACCGTCTGTATGCTGAGGGAGTCCATGATGACGGTCTGCTGAGTGTTCTGCCTGTTTTGGAAGTCCAGCAAGTAACTTTGTTTCAAGAACCGCAATCCTTTGTACAAGTCTGTGGCAGTTCATTCAGCAGGTAGATTCGACAAGAGGCATTTTCTTTCTCCTCTGTTTGAAATTAGGCAGCTGTTTTTTCCTGTCTCCGGAATGTAAGCTGCTGGCAGTGGGAGGCAAAAGTCCCCTTTTTCGTAGTATAAAGGCATAATCCTTCACCAAGTGATTTACTCGTCACAGTTTGATCTCTGTCCAAATGATAAGGTTCCCAAAACCATCAATTTCCAAATCAGAATGAGAATCCTGTTCCTTAAGCCAAGAAGCCAAGTTTCCCTAAAAGCAAAGCGGCCATCAATTCTTCAACAACACCCGTTGTCTATTTTCACGTATAGCATGACAAATAATTAACTGCACCTGAAGCTTTCATAAAATTAAAAATGAAACACACAAAACTGTATATGGCATCATAATGAAGATGAACTATATGTTGAAACGTAATTCTGGAAGGAACGGCAGATGGCATTGCGTGGGGACATAATGACGTGTACAATTAATCAATTTATGTACTATAACATGGAAAACGGGAACATGAAAGGATTATTCTAAAAGCAACTCATGTAAACATCTTAATCATAATATTGTCTTATTCAGAAAAAAGTAAATAATTAGATTACTGATGTCCATGTAAACGTGGTCACAGAGAGCAAGTAAAAAGCTTTTTCCCCAGTTTGAATTAGCATGTGACTCTCAAGGCTTCCTTTACATGTGAAAGCATTTCCACACTAAGGACAGGTGAAAGACTATTCTGAAGTGTGAATACACACATGCTCATTAAATTGTCTTTTCTGAGTAAAACTCTCTCCACACTGAGAGCAGCTGAAAGGTTTTATTCCAGTATGAATTTTCATGTGATTCCAAAGGCTTGCTTTATGGTTGAAAGCGTTTCCACACTGAGAGCAGCTAAAACGCTTTATTCCCATATGAATTAACATGTGATTCTTTAGGGTTTCTTTACGTGTGAAAGTGTGTCCACACTGAGAGCAGGTGAAATGCTTTTCTGAGGTGTGAGTTAGCATATGCTCATTAAGTTGTTTTTTTTGTGTGAAACTCTTCCCACACTGAGAGCAGGTAAAAGGCTTTATTCCAGCATGAATTAACATGTGATTCTTCAGGCTTCCTCTACGAGACAAAGTCTTTCCACACTGAGAGCAGGTGAAAGACTTTTCTGAGGTGTGAGTTAGCATATGCTCATTAAGTTGTTTTTTCTGTGTAAAACTCATTTCACACTGAGAGCAGACGAAAGGCTTTATTCCAGCATGAATTAACATGTGATTCTTCAGACTTTCTCTACGCGACAAAGACTTTCCACACTGAGAGCAGGTGAAAGGCTTTTCTGAAGTGTGAGTTAGCATATGGTCATTCAGATGTCTTTTCTGCATGAAACTCTTTCCACACTGAGAGCAGCTGAAAGGCTTTATTCCAGTATGAATTTTCATGTGATTCTTCAGGCTTTCTTTGCGTGTGAAAGTATTTCCACATTCAGAGCAGGTGAAAGGCCTTTTTCCAGCATGAACAATCATCATGTGTTCGTTAAGTCTTCTTTTGTGTTTGAAAGTTTTTCCACACTCAGAGCAGGTGAAAGTCTTTATTCTAGTATGAATACTCATGTGATTCTTAAGGTATTTTTTACGAGTGAATGCGGTTCCACACTGAGAGCAGCTGAAAGGCCTTTTGACTTCTTTTCTTTGAATGTTTCGTTGCGAGCAACTTTTTTCAGTTTTGGAGCAACTCACTGATGTTTCTCCAGTGATGACATCATGAGCTTTCTGACACTGATATTTCTCCTCCACCTCACTCAGATCTTGTTCTTCTTTTATGTTCATCAGGCCTAAAATGAAAACATTAAAATTATGAAAATCAATTGGGACATTTGGAGAACAAAAGGAACTTAGGGTTAGGGCTGCATGATAAATCGAAATGGAATCGAAATCACGATTCGACAGAAGCTGCGATTGTCATGCGTATCTTTCAGTGAAGCACACGGTTCTGTGATCAGCAGTAAATCTCCATTCAAAGGACAGAGGGCGCTCTCGCGCTGAAAATACGCCTCGCAGAAGAAACCCAGAAAATGTCGCTGCAGCTGAATAAACAGAAGATTCAACTGCTTTCATTGATTCAATGTGACTAATGAACACACAATTATGACAATATATGGTTTATCAGAGTTATTATAATTTTCATTAAAATAAAGTATATTTATAATGCAATGCCTTTATCACTGCTTAGAATACTATGAAATATGTTGCATGCCTTATTCTGTGTAAGAAGCCACATCATCTCACAGAAGGATTTATTTCAAACACTCGACTGATGTTATGAAGTGAGTTTGGAGTAAAAATATGTTATTAAATGTGGTATTTTCACATGCTTTCAGATGGAGCAGCATTTACTACACAGAGCCGTAGTTCACTGAGAAGCTATACAAACAGCTGTCATTATCGCGAATGATTTCTTCGATTTCATAAATGACTTCTGTTGTGATCTGGTGCTATAGAGAAAATAAAATTAAATAAAATGGCACTCCTGGCACCCCTCTAATATAATGGCAGGGGAAACACTGGAGATGATGTGGCTTCTTACACAGAATAAGGCATGCAATATTTCATAGTATTCTAAGAAGGGATAAATAAAGTCTATGTCGATTAGCATTGCATTATATACTTTTTTTATAATGAAAATAATAAGACAAAATCAGATAAATCATATATTGCCATAGGCAATTGTTTATTAGTCAAGCTGAATCAATGAAAGCAGTTAAATCTTCTCTTTATTCAGCTAGTGCTATAGGGATTGCCTGGGTTTCTTCTGCGGCGTGTATTTGGAGTTTCTTTGGCCTTCAGATGGAGATTTACTGCTGATCACAGAACCCTGCTTCACTGACGAGATGCACATGACTATCACAGCTTCTGTCTAATCGTGATTGTGATTTCATTTCGATTTATCATGCAGCCCTAGATGACAACATCATCAAAACGATCCCTGTTCACAAGAATTCATGGAAACTAAAAACGGTATAGCCGCGGGAACATTTTTAATATTTCTTTAATATTTCTATTATTTAATGGGATTTTACTAAATATTAACATGTAACAGATCTAACACTGTTACCTTAGCGGTTGTGCTTTTCCGCACCATTAGGTGGCACTAACCATCTTCCTAGATGAGTATTTAGCCAGGTACTATACATGAAGTAATTAGGAAAGCGTTTGGATAGAGGAAGTAATGGCTTTCTTGTGCTATTCCAACCTTCTTTCTGAGGTCCTATGATTGAGGAATTTGTTTCCTTTTGGTCAATCAGTAGTAGTGGTGTGTTTTCATGCATTGTATGTTTTGGTGATTTGTACTTAATGTGTAATTGTTGTATTGCGTATGTATTGATCATTGAGACAAACATGCATGCTAATTGTGAATGTGTGTTTACTTAGATGGACCTCTATTCCTTGCTTTCTTTCTTATGAGGAAAGAGTTCAAAAGGAACGGGATTGTGAGGCACTGTGTAAATCTGTTGGAAGAGAAAGTGATGACATATAGTGATCGTGAATGTGGAAGAGTGAAAACATATCTGGAGATGATTGTGAAAGATCTTGGTCAGGCTATGATGGATTGTCTAAAAAGACAAGACAAGCAAATAGACTGTAAACTGCAGACATGCATTCCAACGATTTCTATTCCCCATCAAACCACAAGTAGGCCTGTTATGCACAAATTTGCTAAAGACATTCACTCTAATACTTACTGTACTGCTGACAGTTTGACAGGAAGTCAGTATAACCCACCTGTCAAACTGGAATTCAGTAATCATCCAGAGGAAGACCCACTTGCCTTCACTGAACACTGTGAGGAGAATTTCGCTGTCCGCCCATTAACAGATGAAGAAACTATAGCTTCCCTTAATGCTATTTGCTAAAGACATTCACTCTAATACTTACTGTACTGCTGACAGTTTGACAGGAAGTCAGTATAACCCACCTGTCAAACTGGAATTCAGTAATCATCCAGAGGAAGACCCACTTGCCTTCACTGAACACTGTGAGGAGAATTTCGCTGTCCGCCCATTAACAGATGAAGAAACTATAGCTTCCCTTAATGCTGTTTTGAGTCACACGGCCAAAGACTGGTGGACTGCTGAAAAGAAGAGGGTCCATAATTGGCAGCAGTTCAAAGAATCCTTTCTTCAAGCCTTCTTTAATGAAGATTATGAAGTAGTGGCCATGAGAAAGCTCATGGAAAGGAGGCAAGGGGTAAATGAAAGTTTTAGGGACTTTGCTTTCCATTACCGTGCCCTGTGCTTAAGGTGGAAAAAGGGAATGACTGAAAAGGAGATGATTCAAGCCATTTTGAGAAACTGCAACCCTCGTCTTGTTAGCCTGTTGCGAGGGAACCTACAGTCAGTTCATGAACTGGTCTGGGTTGGGACGCAAGTTGAAAGAGACATTAGCGAATCAAAGTAGTACTGGAACATGATGAACGCAGATGAGCAGTGAAAGAAGAATGTCGTGAGTAAAGAGTCACAAAGAATAAACCCTCCATCCCATACCAGAGTAGTGCAAAACATTAAAGAGAATGTACAACATAATTCTGGAAACCTCACCATACCACTTAACATTCAAGGTAAACTGATAGCTGCACTCATCGACACTGGTAGTACTTTGTCGTTAATGCAAAAATCCATTTGGAGACAGTTGTGTAAAGAAGAAACCATGCCATCAAGTGGAGGACAAACGTTTCTTCTTGCCAACAGCCATCATCAAGCAGCTGTAGGGAAGGTAATCTGGATGAGTAAAGTGCATGATGTTCCAGTGGAAGTTGAGTTCTACATAATGAACGATTCTGACTTGGCTGTACCTGCTATACTAGGAATGGATTTTTTGTTGAAGTCAGGGATGATAATAGACTTTCAGCATGCCCAGTATACCTTTCCTGCACAAGGGGACGCTGTAGTTGCTGTCACACATCCATTTTTCTGGCAGGATACCTTTCCAATGATCCATACTGTCCATTTCTACCTCGCCTTGTCTCTATCACCATGCAATGAGGAGGTTCTTCAATTCATCCGCAGTCTTACAGCCAAAGCAGACAGAAGCACACAGGTGCAAATCCAGTTGGAAGGTCTGATGTTGGGTTGGCCCTCAGTTTGTACTCATGACATAGGGCATACCACACTGGTCAAACATCGAATCCTTACTACTGATAAGGTGCCTGTAAGGAAAAGATCTTACAGAGTATCTAAGGAAAAGTAAGCATTCATTGATGAACAGTTGAAAGAACTGTTGGATAAAAATATCATACGTCCATCTACCTCATCTTGGGCTTCACCAGTGGTTGTGATGCCAAAGAAAGACGGAGGGTCACGTTTCTGTGTTGACTATTGTGGACTTAATGCAAAGACACCTTTGGATGCATACCCGATGCCACAAATACAAGACATTTTGGAGTCCATGCATGGAGCAGCCGTATTTAGTACCCTTGACCTGAAAAGTGCGTACTGGCAATTAGACATGGATCATGACAGCATTCATAAAACAGCCTTTGTTACTTCATCCGGTTATATGAATTCCAGCATCTACCGTTCGGCCTGAAAAATGCCACAGCATCATTCCAAAGATTAATGGAGAACGTGCTCAGAGATCTGAAGGGTAAATGCCGCATGATGTATATTGATGATGTGGTGATCTACTCCAAAGACGAGCAAGATCACCTCCAGCACATCCAACAGGTCTTCCATTGTCTGTCCAAAGCTGGTCTCACCCTTGTAGCGAATCAGCTCATGGGGAAATATGAATAATTAACCATAACTAGTTATAATTAACTATTCATATTTTAGATCCACTGTAGATATTTAGCTGACCACTCAGGGTCAACCGTCTTGTCAATTCTAAGAACGTTAATTTCCTGGTTAAAGGAAATAACTTTCTTACTGTACAATTCTATAAGTTTGTAACATAAATCTGCATGATTATTGACTACAAGAGTGGGCTATCCTTCTCACATTCCTGGGGGGTCATAAAACCAGTGATATCATGATTAGTTGTCATGGTGACCAGAGCGCCTGGTGTTCAGCAGACATCCTGGCATCCAGTTAATTGAGTGAGGGGACTGTGACGATTTGTTAACCTAATGAATAATTGATTTGTTAAATCAAATTAAAATTAGTGTGTCAGATTGGTCGAGACGCTACACCCTCAATCTGAAAAAATGCAATTTCATTCAGAAATCCCTTACGTTTCTTGGTCATATAGTCTCTGGAGAAGGAATAAGAACAGATCCGGACAACGTTTCAGCCATTCGATCATTTCCCACTCCACAATCTCTGAAAGAAGTACAAAGATTCTTGGGATTAGCCGGGTGGTATTATAGATTCATCCCCAATTTCTCAGAAAAAGCAGCACCTCTTCATGCATAAAAAAAATGCAACATGGACTTGGTCAGAGCAGTGTCAGCAGTCATTGGATATACTCAAGATGGATTTAACCAATGCACCTGTTCTGGCAGCCCCTGATCTTGATAAGCCTTTTAAAGCTCAG